ACAAAATTATGAACCAGCCATAAAAAATGTAAAAAGTTTTGGATTATTTTAGATAATCACCCACAAAAAATAGCATTTTACAACAATATGTGAAACAAGAATTTGAAATAAAAGCAGTTTAAGATCTGATTAAAAATCAGATGGAGTACTGGTTGCCATGGTTGAAAGCCATGGTTGAAAGCCATGGTTGAAAGCCATGGTTGAAAGCCATGGTTGAAAGCCATGGTTGAAAGCCATGGTTGAAAGCCATGGTTGAAAGCCATGGTTGAAAGCCATGGTTGAAAGTCATGGTTGAAAGATTTATCAAACTATATAGCTGGAGTAAGCGACCAGGGTTGATATTTGAATGAAACTTATTACTCAACATACCAACCACCCTAATACTCTCTGGCGGTCCTTGTCCAATACACTCACTATTCTTTATCTGTCTAAGATCATTGCAATTTAAAAATATATAGTTACATATCATAAATCTTTAAAAAGTACTTTATTTAGTGAGTTTTAATTAGTAAAGTAAAAGGACGTCATAATAGTTTTAGTACAATTTTGTACAAAAAGCTTTTTGCAATCTGTTATTTCTAGAATTTTATTTTGCCTGGGCAATTTTAATCCTATTATAAGTTTTAATGAATTGTTTAAATTTTCACTGTAAAGATAAAAATAATTTTAAATTGATTTTACTAAGTTTTTTTTTCAAAATTAGCGAGCTGTTCTGATTTAGGAATCAAAGCATTTCAATTTAGGAGATCGGTTGCCTTGATTGGAACAGAATGGTGGCTTGACAAAACCAAATTTATTTCCAATAACAGTGCATTCAATAAAGGTTAACTATGGTTAAAAGTATAAAAAAGTTGTCTGTTAGTTAAATTACACAAAACAGGCATGTTCTGTAAGCCCATCAACTAGCTTAGCTAGCTTGTGCATGATTGCACAGAAGATGATGCGTTGTAATAATTATGTTGATAGCTGATTAAATTTTGCTTTGAAGCAGTTGACACTATGAGCACCAACAATTTCATTTGGTAGTGCATTCCATGAGTGAGCGATGCAATTATTATAAAAGTTAAATCGAACGAGGCAATTAATGTTTATTTCACAATGAAAGCGCTGGCAATGACCATAGCTTAATGGGGTGTTAAGTGGAGCAACATGCCAGCTAACTGAGTTAATGTTGTTTTCAATTTTGTATTTTTGGATGAGGTTTAATGCATCTTGTCTCATAGTTGAAGCACTTCATTTCATGTGATGCTTTGGTATTGATATTTGTGTCTTTTTTGACGTACGGGCACCAGGTGGTAACTGCAAACTCGAGATGTGAGCATATATAGGTGGTGTAAAGCTTTTTCCATATTTTGGTGTTTCTTCTGATAAAAGAGTGTTTTAAGATTCCAATGACATTATTGGCCCTGGAAGCGGCAATTTTGACTTGATTATCATGTTTTAAGTTGTTGGTGATTTGAACACCAAGGTATTTTTTTGGATGTCAGCTCCGTATTAGCTTGGAGACGAGCTTTATCTTCAGCAGTTTTGATGACGCTAAGAATTTTAGTATTGTTTGTGTTTATTTTACAGATGCTTTTACTACTAATATGTTCAGGTAAGTCGTTGATAAAGATTATGAGGAGTATAGGACCTATATATATAACATATATATCTATATTCATATATATGCATATTATATGCCAGTATTTAATAAATAGTAAATATATGCATTAAATGATGTTGCTGTGGTTAAGTTTGTAAAAAGTTCAATAATTAGGGCCCCACTTACTAAATAGCTGTATAAAAATCAGTCTGATTGAATTAAATGCTATTAACAAAATTTTAGAAAATAATTTGAATACCCTTAAGAATATGTTAGCAGTTCTGTCTTGATTAAAAGTTGCTGTTAAAGAACAAGTTTATGGTGTTGTTTTTAATGTTTTTGCACAATTTATATTCATTAAAAAAAAAAAAAAAAATCATGGTTTTCTTACTGAGAAAGGTGACAGCATATGCCAAAGAACTAATTTCAAAAATAATAAAAAAATTTATGAAAACACAAATTAAAGTTTATTTAAAAAAACTATAAAAATATGTCCTTTTTTATTTTTTGTTAAAAAACGATAGTTTTTAAGCCATAAAATTTAAATCTTTATATAAAATAATTATTTTTTGTGGATGTTTTATAAAATTTAACTTCTTTTAAGACCCAACATGATATGCTTTTAATGAACTTTTTTTTTTTAATATTAGGGATCCGTCTGATATTTAAGGGTCTTGAGCTACCCCTAAAAATTTTTTTTATCCCAAAATTTTTTAAATGTGGCATTAATTTATTACATAGAACACATTTAGGGGATGCCATCAGACATTTTCAAAAATTGTTGTTTTTAGAACCACCCTAATATATATATATATATATATATATATATATATATATATATATATATATATATATATATATATATATATATATATATATATATATATATATATATATATTACATTTGTTACATAGAGTACCAGTAAATCATCTATTGGAAAGCATTCAAGAAAAGGGAAAGTTTCACAAAAAAAAAGTAAGTTAAACTTTCAAATTTTATGCAAAACTTAAATGACAGTGTTTGAATTGTATGCACAGTGTTGGCCAGTATGATTCTCTGACATTAAGACTAAGCAGTCATTTTTTTTATAGCCATTTAATTTCTTTTTTAAAAAACTTTTACAATGCTTAATACAACTTTAAGAAATTATAATTTTTACAGAAATTAAGGAAAAGGAGAAGACAAGAAACTAATCATAAAAAGATTTTCTTCAATTTCAATCCAAGAAGGCCACAACAGACAAGGAGGCTACTTAATTGTGGTTATAACCCTCTCTCAACTCTATATTTAAAAGAAAATTTAAAAAGTTATTATTAGTTAATAAGTTATTATTTTATTCTAGTCTTGCTAAGAGTTTTCGAATGTGATCTCTTTTAACAGTTTGGGGCTCAGAAGCTATTGAATTTTAATACAAAACTCATTTGTTTACTGCTGATAATTATTACAATATTGAGTATCCTATATTGATGATTAGCATCATGTTTACTGAGTTCTCTAATTTACAACTAACATTATTTTTTACTACTGAATACTCATGGAAACCACAATCTGCTTAACTAGTTGTTAAATCTCTCTCTCTCTCTCTCAATTAAGTAGCCTCCTTGTCTGTAGTGGCCTTCTTGGCCTTGAGGAGATAAATTTTGAAAAAAAATTAAAGAAAATATTTTTAGGATTAGTATATATATATAGTCCTCAGCATTCAGAATTAGGAAAAATAAGGTCGGCAATAATTTGATCGACCTTAATCTGTTTAAGGTTAGCATCAAGTTTTCAGAAAAAATATAAAAGAAAGATTTGACTATAAAACATAGAAGCAAGGTCCGCGCTTTTTTGCTGACCTCAAACACTTCTAGGATGACAGTTGGGTCTGTATTGCTGAATGCCAATCCTAATTCTGAGGGTTGTATATATATATATATATATATATATATATATATATATATATATATATATATATATATATATATATATATATATATATATATATATATATATATATATTAGATTGTATTTATGTAACAAATTGTTACCCTATTTTTGTTACATAAATTTATACAGTGTTTTTAGAGAAAGTAGAAAAAAACAAAGAATAATATATATATATATATATATATATATATATATATATTAGATTGTATTTATGTAACAAATTGTTACCCTATTTTTGTTACATGAATTTATACAGTGTTTTTAGAGAAAGTAGAAAAAAATAAAGAATAATATATATATATATATATATATATATATATATATATATATATATATATATATATATATATATATATATATATATTATAGTAAAACTTATTAAGATATACAATTAATAAACCATAATCTTTTAATGACATTTTGAATTTAATCATAAGTTAATACATTTGCCGATACATGTTTTGACTACTTTTTGATAATGAGTAAGTTAATACATTTGTAGATAAATGTTTTGTCTACTTTTTTTTATGGTGTACTATCTTTCATATTTTGAAAAAATTAGAGAAATAACTTTTGGATAAAACAACTTTTTTAGGCAATTGGCAAAAAAAAAATTTTCAATACAAGTTTCATTAGTATCTATGCTTTCACTTTTAAAAAAGTATACATCAAACCAATTTTTTTTTATGTTTTTTTAAAAAATATGTTTATTACACCAAGAAATTCCTTTAAATAATTTGAAATTAAACCTGTTTAAATTTTATATATTTTACAAGCATTTATAGTTTTTTTTTTCATTGATGTTATTTACAGTTTTATTTTTATTGATGTTTTTTATATTTTTATTGATGTTTGCTGTGAATCATAGTCAATGTTATTTTTTCAGGCTTGCTTAATGAAAAATACACCACAAATGACATTGGTAGCTCAGAAAAATCAAATATGCATAGTGGATCGATTAGTGATGTTTCGCCTAAATATAACAATTCTGCATTTATAGAAAGTAATGCTTTTGTTGAAAATGACAAATTTACTGGAAATGTGATTTCTGCTGATAATTCAGTAGAAGATTGTGTTATCAATAATGGTTTACCTACCATGGACTTAATAAGAGTTACGCCTGATCTTCAGAGTTCACAAGTAAATAAAGAAAAGTTTATTAACTCTGTATATAATGATATTGTGTCTACATATGAAATAAAAGATAATGATTACTTATCAGATGCTAGCAACAGTAATAAGTTTGTTGAGTATCTAGAAGTTGATACAATGTTTAAAAATTCATTAGCAAAAGATTTAAGGTTTGGGGAAAGTATCTCATCTAAATCATTTTTACATGACATTCGAGACTTGCCATCACCTACTTTTGAAAATTCAGGATCTAATATTTTTAATGATATTGAAAATAGCATTTATGCAGAACAAAGTATGAGTATTTTTACCCGTGATATGTTAGATAGTAGAAATTCTTTTGAAGATGGAATTAATACAAGCGTATCTGATTCTGTATCTGAAGATGTTTTGACATACCAGATTTTGTCTAATGTTCATAGTTCTGAAGCTATGGTGTTTAATTTACCTCATCAAGTTATACCAGATACCATATTACATTCAGAAAATAATATTTCAAATACCCAAAAAATTAATATTGAGCAGTTAGTTTCAATAAACAAAAAAGCTGATGTAAATCCAGATATTGTTATAGACAAAGAAAAAGGTGTTATTGAAAAAATAACTCCATTGAACATAGAGGATAAAGTTCATTATCAGAATGTCATTATAAACAAAGAAAATAGTTTTATTGAAGAGTTAGTTTCGCTAAACAAAGAAGATGAAGTTCTTTATCCGGATATCATTGTAAACAAAGAAAAGTGCATTATTGATGATTTAGTTTCACTAAACAAAGAAGTTAAAGTTTGTTATCCAGATATTATTCTAAATATTGAAAACCCACATTCAAATAAACCAATCAGACAATCACAAAACCAAAAACTGATAAAAAATAATGAAAATAGAGCACACTTATTTGAACAACCCATAAATCTAATAAATGAATTAAATATCGAAAATGGGCAAGCAAGTAAATGTCAAGAATTTAATAATACTACAAAATTTGTTGCATCAAGAACATCTAGCAAAAGTAAAAAAAATTCTGATAAACTTGCAACAAAAGAATCAATATCAAGCAAAGATACAAAAGATCAATCAAACGAAAAGCCATTAGAAGGAGAAAAAATAAGTGATGTACAACTGAAGGAAAAACAATCAGAAAATATTAAAGTAAATGATAATCAACTAGAGAAAAAACAGTTAGAAAATACAGTAACAAGTGGAGCACTTCAATCTGATATAATTATGCCTGGTAGACGAAGAAAGAATGTAAAAAATGTTGTAGACTTTGTGAATCAATCAGAACTATTGCAACCTGAGGAAACTAATAACATTAGACACTCTGCACGATCAAATCAGACAAAAAATTCTGATAAACTTGCAACAAAAGAGTCAATATCAAGCAAAGATACAAATGATCAATCAAACGAAAAGCCATTAGAAGGAGAAAAAAAAAGTGATGTTAAAGTAAATGATAATCAACTAGAGAAAAAACAGTTAGAAAGTACAGTAACAAGTGGAGCACTTCAATCTGATATAATTATGCCTGGTAGACGAAGAGAGAATGTAAAAAATGTTGTAGACTTTGTGAATGAATTAGAGCAATTGCAACCTAAGGAAACTAATAACATTAGACGCTCTGCACGACCAAATCAGACAAAAAATTCTGATAAACTTGCCACAAAAGGGTCAATATCAAGCAAAGATACAAATAATCAATTAAACGAAAAACCATTAGAAGAAGAAAAATCAAGTGATGTACAACTGAAGGAAAAACAATCAGAAAATATTAAAGTAAATGATAATCAACTAGAGAAAAAACAGATAGAAAATACAGTAACAAGTGGAGGACTTCAATCTGATATAATTGTGCCTGGTAGACGAAGAAAGAATGTAAAAAATGTTGTAGATTTTGTGGATCAATCAGAACTATTGCAACCTGAGGAAACTAATAACATTAGGCGCTCTGCACGATCAAATCAGACAAAAAATTCTGATAAACTTGCAACAAAAGGGTTATTATCAACCAAAGATACAAATGATCAATTAAACGAAAAACTATTAGAAGAAGAAAAATCAAGTGATGTACAACTGAAGGAAAAACAATCAGAAAATATTAAAGTAAATGATAATCAACTAAAGAAAAAACAGTTAGAAAATACAGTAACAAGTGGAGGACTTCAATCTGGTATAATTATGCCTGGTAGACGAAGAAAGAATGTAAAAAATGTTGTAGATTTTGTGAATCAATCAGAACTATTGCAACCTGAGGAAACTAATAACATTAGACGCTCTGCACGATCAAATCAGACAAAAAATTCTGATAAACTTGCAACAAAAGGGTTATTATCAACCAAAGATACAAATGATCAATTAAACGAAAAACTATTAGAAGAAGAAAAATCAAGTGATGTACAACTGAAGGAAAAACAATCAGTAAATATTAAAGTAAATGATAATCAACTAGAGAAAAAACAGATAGAAAATACAGTAACAAGTGGAGGACTTCAATCTGATATAATTATGCCTGGTAGACGAAGAAAGAATGTAAAAAATGTTGTAGATTTTGTGAGTCAATCAGAACTATTGCAACCTGAGGAAACTAATAACATTAGACGCTCTGCACGATCAAATCAGACAAAAAATTCTGATAAACTTGCAACAAAAGGGTCATTATCAACCAAAGATACAAATGATCAATTAAACAAAAAACCATCAGAAGAAGAAAAATCAAGTGATGTACAACTGAAGGAAAAACAATCAGAAAATATTAAAGTAAATGATAATCAACTAGAGAAAAAACAGTTAGAAAATACAGTAACAAGTGGAGCACTTCAATCTGATATAATTATGCCTGGTAGACGAAGAAAGAATCTAAAAAATGTTGTAGATTTTGTGGATCAATCAGAACTATTGCAACCTGAGGAAACTAATAACATTAGACGCTCTGCACGATCAAATCAGACAAAAAATTCTGATAAAATTGCAACAAAAGGGTCAATATCAAGCAAAGATACAAATGATCAATTAAACAAAAAACCATTAGAAGAAAAAAACTCAAGTGATGTACAACTGAAGGAAAAACAATTAAAAAATATTAAAGTAAATGATAATCAACTAGAGAAAAAACAGTTAGAAAATACAGTAACAAGTGGAGGACTTCAATCTGATATAATTATGCCTGGTAGACGAAGAAAGAATGTAAAAAATGTTGTAGATTTTGTGGATCAATCAGAACTATTGCAACCTGAGGAAACTAATAACATTAGACGCTCTGCACGATCAAATCAGACGAAAAATTCTGATAAACTTGCAACAAAAGGGTCATTATCAACCAAAGATACAAATGATCAATTAAACGAAAAACCATTAGAAGAAAAAAAGTCAAGTGATGTACAACTGAAGGAAAAACAATTAGAAAATATTAAAGTAAATGATAATCAACTAGAGAAAAAACAGTTAGAAAATACAGTAACAAGTGGAGGACTTCAATCTGATATAGTTATTCCTGGTAGACAAAGAAAGAATGTAAAAAATATTGTAGGCTTTGTGAATCAATCAGAACTGCTTCGCAACAGTCAACAGAAGGCAGCACAAGAAAATGAATTAATAAACAATGATCAACTTGAAGAGAAACAATTAAAAAATAAAATAAAAAGAGATAATCAACTTAAAAGGAAACAATTTCAAAATACGGTAACTAATGATAATCAAATGAATGGAAAAGATTTAGAAGATACACTAATGACTGGAAAAGACTTTTTGGATGAGTTAAATATTCCAGGCAAACGAAGAAGGAATGTCAATGTGGTAAATCGTAATGTTGATTTTGCAAAGCAAATGGAAAAACTGCAAACTGAAACTCAGCATTGCATCAGGCGGTCTGCACGGACTAAACAGGATAAAACTGAAAAATTTCCAACAAAAGAGCTTACATCTACTAAGAAGACAGGTGATGTTAGTGATAAAGTTGATCCAGAAACTGACTTTAAAAACATGCATATCTCAGTTCTGCCAGCTATGAATGTTGAAAATGTAACATATGTACGCTCATCAAGATCAATGAAACTAAAAAAACATAAAACAAAACTTCAATTAAAGATGGCAGAGCAAAATAAAATAAAAGAAAACCATTCAATTGATCCTGAAGTAAATGAAACAAATGGTAAAAGTGTTGTATCAGGAAAATTATCAGAATACCATGATGAAGCAATGTCAGTTGTTGAAAATCATCATGATGAAGCAATGTCAGTTGTTCAAAATGATTATGGTAAGAGTTGTTAAATTGAATTTTTTTTTAAATTTTACAAAAATTGAAAAAATATATATAATAAAATATAATTTAGATAAAAAAAATGCTGCTTCACCTTCAAAAAAAACCAAACTTAATGAAGAAGAAACAAGTGAATATCTAGGGTCTAAATTGAAAATGGGAAAAGTATCGGTACCAACCACTCGATCTTCTAGAAGAAAAAATGTTAATGGAGAAACTGTTATTCAAAAATCTTTTAATTACACAAATAGTGTTCAATCTAGCATTTTAATAAATGAAGACATTCCACCTGTGGTAAAAATCAATCAATCAAATGATACTGAAGAAGAGCCAGGTAGTGCTATTTTTAATAGCAATATAGAAGTTATAAGCAGGAAATCTAATTCTGAAAGTACAATTCAAGCAATAAGTCAACCTTCTACTCGAAGTAGAAAAGAAAAAAACTCCAATCAAACTCTAATTATGTCAAATAATATAAATTTAGAAACAATTCAGACCACAATCAATGATGTGGATGTGACAAAAATTACAAAACCTTCTTCAAAATTATTAAAAGGGAAAAAAAAATTTAATGCACTTATTACTGACCCAACACAAGCTAAAAATTGTTCGGCTCTAAAAGAAAATATCAATAAATCGCTTAAGGAAAAACCAAATTTGGTAAATATATACTTTTGTTTTAACTTCTTGTCACTACTGTTTTATTGTTTGTAACTTTTATGTAACTTATTTACTTGTTTATTACACTATTTATTTGTTGTATTTTATGCATATTTTATATTATAGTTTTGATACATTATTTATTATATTAAGCTTTTCCGCAATGAGTGTAAATACTTTCACTTCATTAAAGTATTAGAAATAACTACAACTTATTTTGTAGTTGTTTCTAAGACTTTATTGAAGTGAAAGTATTTCCAATTTTATCAAAGTATTTATATGCGGTAGTGGCTTTTATTTGGTTACAGTATTTATTTGTTTTGTTTTGTATAATTTATATTATGGTTATTATGTTATACATTATTATATTATATATTATTAAGCTTCTCTGTAGCAGGTGTCAATGTGTTTTGTAGTTGCTTCTTGCACTAGAACTGCATTAAAAAGCATTCCTTTATCAAAGTATTTATAAGCAGCAGTGACTCATCAACAATAAGACACAGTTGTGCAGTGTGAACATTTATAATGGAATGATCAAATTAATAGTGTAGTATACAGCCCTCAAAATTAGAAAATTATTTTTAATCAGCAAAATATTTTTAACTTATATGTTTCACCATAATAACACAGAAACGCAGTTGAAATAAATTACCATTCTTTTTTTTTTCTCCTAACATGAGCATTTAAAGTTAAAAATAGTAGCCCATATTAAGGCAAGATGTTATAATATATTGTTTAGAAAAAGATTTCTTTTATAAATAATTTGAACAATATATGTCTTTGTTCAAATACAGTTTAAAACATTTTACTTAAAAAAACTTAGTGTTTATGCAGCTGTTAAAAAACCTGTGCTGATGTTGAGAGATCAGCTCATACAATTTAAGTAGTTAAGGGGAAAATTGGGTAGTGTTTGTAAAAGTGAAAGCAAGTTTTTTTTTTTACATCACATTCTTTTTGTGCAGTTTTTTTTCATCATTTAAAAATTCACTCATTGCATAATAAAATATCCAAGCCGTACCAAAAAGCAGCAGAAATGTATTGAACCGCATACAAAAAAACTGTAGAAAACAACATTCTGAAAAAGTTCAATGGCTGCCTAATTTTTGATGATAATAAACAATGTCAAGTTAGAATTTAGACCAACACCTGGTCACAGGTTTTATGCTGGAATTAAGTGTGATTAGCGATAGATATAAATATGCAAAGCTGGATAATGCAAGCCATTGTAAACAAATGCAAAAAATGCAAGCCATTATAAAGTCAATGAACGCTGAATTCTACAAGAGGGAGTGCCTTGAAAAATGTCTTCTACTATAAAATTTTATAATGTTCCTGTAAGGTTTTGGCCTGATTTAGCAAGCTGTTATTATGCTAAAGCATCAATGAGTTGGTGCCAAAAAAACGGTGTTGAAATTATAACTAAAGATCACAACCCACCAAATTGTCCACAAATAAGCTCTTTAAAAAAATATTGGGCTATTAGTAAGTTTAAGTTAAATAAGACACAAGTTAAAACCAATACAGAATCCAAACAACTAAAAAAGTTGAGATAAAGTTCCCTGTGCAAACACTGTGCAAAACTTGGTGAGACTATGACCTAAAAGCTCACAGTCTTGAGGAAAGGAGATAATATAATTTAAAATATGTCAAAAAATAGATTAATCAGTACTCTATATGTAAAAATAACTTTGATAAATATATATATATATATATATATATATATATATATATATATATATATATATATATATATATATATATATATATATATATATATACACTTTTTGTTAATTAGATGCTCTTAAATTTGAGTCAATTTCTTCATGGCTATGCTTTTAAATAACAGATTTTAAAAAATTTGGAATAAAAATTTATTTAAGAGGTGTCCCAAGACCGAAGCTTGAACATTTAATTGGGCACCTAATATTATCAAAATAAAAGTTTTTTAAAAATATATCATGTTGGGTCTCAAATAAAGCAAAATTCTATAAAAAAAAATTCAAAAATTAAAATTGTTTTATAAAAACACATCTGAAATAAATTATAATAAAAAAACTTATTAAAATAAACTTTTTTTTTAATATTTAATTTAAAAAAATCATGTTTTATGAATAAAAAAATCCAAAATAATAATTTATTTATGAAATAATTCATATTTTTAAAATTTTTATATAATTTTGCTTCTTTTGAGACCCAACATGAGAATTAAATCTAACGTTATTTTAGAACACTTTTAGTGGGTGGAAGCAGATTTTTCTAAAAATGTTGTTTTTAAGGACCACCCTAATATGTATATATATATATATATATATATATATATATATATATATATATATATATATATATATATATATATGTGTGTGTGTGTATATATATATATATATATATATATATATATATATATATATATATATATATATATATATATATATATATATATATATATATATATATATATATATATATTAGGGGTGTACCAGATTAGAAGTTTTAAAATCCGGCCGGAATTTAAAATTTGCAATCCCGTGGGGAGGGGGTATATAGTTTTCTAACGCAGCATTTTTATTTATTTATTTTCAAGTTTCAAATCTAGAAATTTTTTTCTATTGGTTAAAAGAGTGCCTAGCCTGGTAAATTACCTGAGGGTTTTCATAAACCCTCAGTTAATGTACACTCAACTGCGGCTATTCCAATTTAAAATAAATTGGAATTGATTTTTAAAGTTTACTTAAATTTTAGTCAATTAATGTAGACTCCGCTGCATCTACGGCTTTATGAGTCAATGATATAGTTGATGATATATAATGATATATCATTGATGAAAAAATCATATCATTGTTAAATCAAAATAATGATATAGTAATTGTTAAACAGCAATAATAGTTAATAATAATAGTTTAATGTTAATATATATATATTTTTTAATTATCTTTGCTTTCAACAAGGCTGCAAGCAACCACTAATTAGTGTTGGAAGTTACTGGAAGAGAAAATATGAAGATTGTAGAGCAAGATAACGATTGACAGACGACTTAAAAGATTGCAAATTATATGAATCAGGAAAGCAAGATGAAGGAAGTGAATTCCAAAGAACTGATGTTCGAGGAAAAAAACTAGACGAATAAGAGTTTTTGGAGCACTTAGGAACAGTAACAGAAAAAGGATGAGAGTTAATTGAATGACGAGTAACACGAGAATGAATTTTAGTAGATGGCACAAGAGACGCTAGCTCTTTAGAGCAGTGCCCATTATAGTATTTGTAGAAAAGAGAAAGAGAAGCAACATTACAACGATGTGACAGAGGTTGAAGGTTGGCTGCAAGAGCAGGTCCAACTATGTTTACAATGCGTTTTTGCACCTTGTCTAAAAGAGAAAGGGTATCATTAGAAGATCCGCCCCAGATATGGCAACAGTATTCCATACAAGGCCGGATTTGAGATTTATAGAGATAGAGAATAGAATCCAGAGTAAGAAAGTGTCGAGCTCGATAAAGAGAAGCAACTTTAGCAGATGCTAATTTTGCAACGGATTTGATATAAGGTTTCCAAGAAAGATCATAAGTAATAAGAAGTAATATAAGCGATGCGATACTAACTTATTGCTAATGTTAATATAACCTGCACAGCGATACGAACTTATTGCTAAAGAATTTGTTTAAATAATATTTCTAATCAAAAATTTAATATAACTTCGGATATTATTTTTCCGTTTAGTCACTGTTAATTTATACAACTTTATTTAAGTTATAGGAGTGCAAAAAAGAATATATGTACACTCCGCTTCCTTTTTTAGCATACCACTTGGTATGCTAAAAAAGACATTGACTTTCAGTGATAAAAAAATGGGTCTTAAATTATATAAAGTGTTTATAAGACCACACCTTGAATATGGAGTGTCTATTTGGGCTCTTTATTTAAAAACTTATATAGCCTTGGTTGAATCTGTTCAACGCAAAGCAACAAAATGGGCTTTCAGCCTGAGGCACAGATGTAGTCAAGACAGTAAAGGCCAAGACTAAGACATTTGGGCTCAAGACCAAGACATCAAAAAATCAACCCAAGACTAAGACTTTGAAAGTTTTTACTGGACCGGAATCAAGAATTAGGTTCTAAAAAGTCTAACACAATAAAACTCATGCTCACACATGTAAGGGGTAAGAAATTTTTTTTTTTTTTTTTTTAACTTCTCCTAACATAAAAAATTACAGTTAGAACCTTGTCAAACCAACGCAACGAACTCTCATTGAGAGCGGTAAGTTGTGGCGATCTACGGTTTGTTATAAATATCTAATCCATTTATTGAGTTGATATTTTTCATAAGAATCAAGAAAGTAAAAGACAATAGAGGTCCAAGACCAATACTCTAGGCTTTCAAGACCAAGACTTTAGACTTCAATACCAAAACCAAGACAGTTAAATATGAGTCTCGAGACCTACATCTCTGGCTTAAGGTGCCTTCAATAATTCTGTGAAAGGCTAAGAAGAATCATAGAAACAACTTTAAATGTTTTTTGATATTAATTTGAAAAAAATTAATATATTTTTACATAAAATTTTACATACGACAACTTATGCATTTAAACAAATATGTTTTCTATAGTTAAGATTTTCACGAGATAAATTTTCGTAACAATTTTTTTTCTTTTTTTTTTTATTTGCTTCTTAATTCATTCAAACTTTTTCGAATATTAGAAATTCCTTTTTGTAAAAAGTTAAATAATCTAAATTCTGTTTTAAAATAATCTAAATTCAGTTTGTCAGTTAAATGCGATCAATTTTTAATAAAATAATTATCCGGGATTTTCCGGGATTATCATAGAAAAAAAATTTCCGGGATTTTCATAAAGTCAAATACTCATCTATGAAGAATAAATCTACCATCACTTTAGTTTCGGCCCCTTTGATGCGATTTAATCCAAATCTTTAAATGATTACATCGTTTTGATAAATATCTGTCAAAATTTATTAACTGCTTGTATTGTGGTCACCATTCCAAAGTAAGGTATGAGTATGTTCCAAACTGTTCTCTAAGACACAGATATTTGTATAATAGATCAGCAAAATTTTTGAATAAACTTCCTAAGCAAATAACTTTCTACTCCTCTGTACCTTTTTACAAAAGTAGACTAGACTTCTGGTTATGGAAAAATTTAGAACAAATATTTACAAAACCGGTTTTTTATAGTGGGGTGTTTTTCCTGCGCGCTGTATATATACATTATTAGACACTAGGGGTGGAATGGAAGAAGTAAATTTGATTTAAGTTCGACTTGAACTTTATTTTGTAACCATTAGCGGCAGAGTATTTTTTGAGGAGAAAACCCATACTCTGTCGCTATTGGTTATAATGTAAAGTTCAAGTCGAGCTTAACTTAAGTTTCAATTATCTAGGGTGGAATGCTTCTTGCATTCCACCCTAGATAATTGGTCTCAATTTATCGTCTGGTATCGGTGCGATATCGTACAGTATCAGTATCGAAATCGCACGATACTGGTATCGAAATCACGCGATACTATTATAAAAAGTTATCGCTTATGTTGGTATTGTTTTGTACCGATAGTATTATTTGGTATTGCAACTCGGGTCATCATGAAAACTTGCATTTTATTTTTATAAACGATTAGTAATTTGAAGTAGTAAATTCGTATAATAAATGAGATGTATATAACTGACTCATTTATTATTAAAAGAAATTCTCAAAGATGGCTGTACGACATCATGTTTATCATTTAATATCTCATCTGGTATATTTGTTTCAATTTAAATAATTATGTGAAAAGATTTTGTTTAACATTTATTTCTATATTAATTTCTATATTACTTTAAACAGTGTGTAAGGGGTAAACAAAAAGGAAAGAGGAGTGGTATTCGGGTTTACTACCCACCCCTCTACCTAAGAAATGTCTTCAAAATATTATTGATAAAATTAAAAAAATTAGAAAAAATATAAAAAAATTGCAATTCAACATTTTATTATTTTTCTCAAAAAAAAATTTATATAACCATTCAATATATTTATTAGTAAACTTATCATATAACCTTTCTAAAATCATTCTAAATGATTAAATGAAACAGGTGTTTTATTTGAAAAAAACTTAAATCTTATTTTTAATTTTTTTTTTTTACGGTTGGACTACCCCCTAGAACAACGACCTGGATTCGCCCCTGCTGTGTGTAGTTTCTCATATCGTTATTCCAACTCTATTGAATTTTTATTCCATTCAGGCAAAAATTTTCTGTGCAGAATTAATCTCCAAGGGAATAGTTTTGCAATCATTAAAGAGAGTTTTTTATATAATTTTCCAAAAGAAATTTGCTTGTGATGCAATCATTAATGAACATTCAATTTGCTTGTCATCATTAATGAACATTCATTTGCTTGTGATGCAATCATTAATGAACATTCAAACAATACTGAATCATGTCAAGGTACGTTTGACTGGTTACATCCCAAAACCATATCTGCGGTAGTGGTGTAGTGGTAAAACACTCGCTTCATAAGCGAGAGGTTCCGAGTTCGATCCCCACCACGTCCTTGGTAGTACCGCGCTCAACTTGTTTCTCCGCGCAGCGGCCTTGTTTGTCAAGGTTCGTGTTTCGGAGTTATAGAGTTGAGAGAGGGTTATAACCACTATTAAGTAGCCTCCTCGTCTGTAGTGGCCTTCTCGGCCTTGAGGAGGTGACAAACAAACAAAAAAAATATCTATTGCTCTAGAATATTGTATTCGAAAAATTCAAGAATCACTCGAAATAAACAAAGCTAAAGTTTGGCAAGAGTTGAAAAATGGCGACAATGTTCTCAGTAGGGATAAACGTGACAACAAAAGCTTAAGGGCCATTTTTTATTAGATTATCTGACGTCAACATTTAAATCCTATTTAAAAAAATTAGTACGATGCTGTTTTGATGTTTTTAACTTTACGTACAACAAGAAATGTCAATTTATTTTAACTTTACGTATAACAAGAAATGTCGCTAAAACACTTGAATCCTATTTAGTATATTCTCATGCTCTTTTTAACGGTTTGTTTTTATAACGATTTTCTTTGTAACGATTTTATTTATTATACCTGATGACGCTGATCGCAATAGATCAGCTAAATATCGAACAATATATATTAAAATAAAAACAAAAAAGTATATATATATATATTTTATATATATATATATATATATATATATATATAACAACTTTTAATATTATTTCAGGGTAGTGATTTAATAATCATGAAAAACGAGAATTCAGAAAAAGACTCAAAGACTCAAAAGTATAGATCAGTAGTTGACAACAGCAAATCAAATCGAAGAAAACGTTGACGAAAGAAGTCCGCCAATTGATGTCTCATTACACTTTTTACTCATAACAATTTTAATGCGCTCAATAATTTTTTAATGCAGCGTTTTACTTAAACTTGCTTATAGTTATGATTTTTATTATTTAAAAAGCTACAGACAGACACTTTTATTGCGATCAAACTATATCACGATTAATATATTTTATATAATGTAAATATTTTTGTTTTATTTAGTTATTTATTTAGATACAAATTATGTGACTTTAAAAACTAATTTTCAAAAATTTTAAATCTTGAAAGGAGTTATGGCAGTTTATTTATGATCTAAATTTGTGTTGTTACGGTGATTTTTATGGTATTTACCCCGACTTTTTATAGGAAAACAGGTAGATTTAAGTTTTCTATTTAAGACCCTTTTTTAAATTGTCATGAGCATGTCATGAGTAATTAAAGTTGAGCAATTAAAAAGTAAGCTAAAATAGTTTAATCAAATGCCTCAAATGTTACCTGTTGAAAAATAACATGCATGGTCTAAAGTAGGGTTCATTTTCTAAAAATTTCGATTAAAATATCGTTCAAAATTTATTTCCATTTGTTAAAAACTTTCGAAAATTATCGAATACCTAATTAGTATTAAAATTTAAATAAAATTTCGAATAAAAAAAATTTCGATTACCTAAATTAATTTCGATAAAGAAAAAGAATTTCGATCAGGGCAAAGAGGTTTAATAGACTAGCTGGAGGAAGACGAAACCCAAAATTGTTTAAAATCGTGGTAGAATCTAGTACTCAACGCAGTTAATGTACGTTCTGGAAAATAAACGGTTTTTGCGTTTTAGTAAAAAAGCTATGTTTAACTCAGTTTTTTTTTAGCACAACTAAAAAATAAAAAAATGAATTTTTTGAAAAATTGAATAACGTTATAATTTTTTTAAATTATTCGAGTTCAGGTATAAAATATTGCTTTATAGTTGAGGTATCATTTGGTATAAAATGATGTTGATCTATACAAAGATAAAGGATTAACTAAAGAAAACAACATTTTCAAATAAGTTATGAGTCATATGTATTTAATTTCTAACCAGTCGTATGTCTAAAAACGTATCAATGGTAGAAAAAAATTAGTTATTTCAAATTTTATATCTGTTTTTTCGATTAAATATCAAAGTTTTTATTAATTTGAATGTGATGAACACAAAATTTGACATACGGCTCGTTAGACTTAATGTTTTATCTCTTATGTTTCATTTAAATGTCTAAGTTCAAATTTTATATACTATTGTGATATGCATCACCTATTTTATAATGTCATTAAACTATTTAACTAAAAATCTGGTCTTTAAATTACTAGATTTTTGTAAATATATGTAAAATACCGACATAATTTAATATTTCTTAAGTAAATTCGGAAAACAAAGGAACGAGGAATAAACATTTTTATCAAAACAAAAGAACAAGTACAAATTTTATTTTTACATAAGATTTACAATACAATCAACTTTATCTTTTATTATGACAGAGGAGTCTATTGCCGATCCTTTAACGCGTGGCTTCGCTAAAGTTGCAGTATTTAAAGTTTTAACTGAAAAACATAAAATCAAATATCTTGTAAATGAAAATCATAAGGGTTTTTTAATAGGTTATTTTAATATATCTTAAATATGTTAAATCACTAACACTAGTAAATATGTTGCGGACCGGAATTTTGTGTTTGTTTGTTGCCACAGAGAACAAGCGAGTCAAAAAATCCAAAAACTTGCATTAAATGCGTTGAGTAGTATCGTGGAAGTATAAGACAGATGAAAGTACACAGATCTCTGATGATGGAAGTACACAGATCTCTGATGTAAAATCGGTGGCAACAAAATTTAATGAGTTTTTCGTAAATATTGGTCCAAACTTAGCCAGCAAAATTAAACACACTCCTGCACATTTCTTGAGCTATCTATCAAAGTCGGATAAAAGCTTATCATTTAAAAAACTCACTAGTAAAGAACTTGATGATTCAATAAAAAAATTAAATAAAAATAAAGCAACAGGCTATGATGCTATTTCAGCAAGCATAATCAAAGACTGCTACGAACTTATTAAAGATGTTTTATTAGATATTTTTAACAAATCGCTTAAAACAGGTGTTTTTCCAGATAAAATGAAAGTTGCAATTATTACAGCCATTTTTAAATCAGGAGATGAAAGTCTGGTTACAAATTATCGACCTATATCGGTATTACCTGTATTTTCAAAAATCCTCGAACGTATCATGTATAATAGGATATTTTCATTTTTGTATGATAACAATCTTCTTTATTGGAACCAATATGATTTTCGATCAAATTACTCTACGGAACATGCACTTATGCAACTTGTTGAAGTTATCAGTGAAGCATCTTCTTATAACAAGTTCACCTTAGGTATATTCCTAGACTTGTCAAAAGCATTTGACACCGTTAACCATCAGATTTTATTAGAAAAACTAAAATATTATGGAATAAGCCACGAATACCATAAATGGTTTACTAGTTACTTAACTGATCGAAAGCAGTTTATTTCTCTTAACGGTGATTTCAGACAAACAAACTTAAAATACCATGTGGGGTTCCACAAGGCTCCATCTTAGGTCCGTTGCTATTCTTAATCTATGTCAACGATCTATATAAAGCATCAAATACTATGTCTACTATTATGTTTGCAGACGACACCACTTTATTCTATTCTCACAGTAATATTATCTCTCTATTTCAAGTAGCAAATAATGAACTAGAACAAATGTCAAACTGGCTTTTCGCTAACAGCTTATCTTTAAACACTGATAAAACTAAGTTTTCCTTATTCCATTCTAAACGAAAGTTTCAATCTATTCCAAAATCCTTACCAATGCTATATATAAATAACATCAATATGAGCGCTCATTCACAAATAAATTACTTGGTATTTTAATAGACGAAAACTTATCCTGGAGAGCTCATATAAATCATATTAGCAATAAAATCTCAAGAAGTATTGGCATCTGTAAAACCAGACGAATCTTAGACAAATCTACACTAACTCAACTATATTTTGCATTCATAAATAGTTATTTATCTTATGGCAATATTGTTTGGGGTAGTACAAATAAATCTAAACTCGACTGTCTCCTTAAACAACAGAATCATGCAGCACGCATTATTCATTTTCAAAATCGCTTCACAAATGCTAAACCTCTTCTGAAAAACTATGAGGGCACTTGATATTTATGAGTTAAATATTTTCAAAATTACACAATTTATGTTTCAACATCAGTCAAAAAAAACGCCGAAGGTTTTGGAAAATATTTTCCATAAAACATTAAACCGATACAACACGCGATCTACCGGAAGATTTAAAAAACCTTTCCGTTCATCAAAACTTACGAGCTTTGGCATTTCCTATCGTGGCCCAATGCTATGGAACCATTTTACAAGTCTGAGTGGTAAACTTAAAGAAGCCAATACCTCTCAAAAATTTAAAAAGAACATAATCGAACTTATTGCCAATCACGATTCTTTACATGATTTTTGTAACAATACACGATTATTTCCAATTTTTATTATCAAAGGTTACTGATGAAAAGACTTTATCTTCTTCAGGTTCTCCGGTCTTGTAACTATTATAAATAATGAAATGTACTTGTATTTAATATTTCTAAATATTTTACGGAAATTATCTTTAATTGTAAATGGTTGCTTGACAAAAATTGAAAAAAAAAAAAAAAAAAAAAAAAAAAAGTTCATCAATCCGCAAACATCAAATCAATTTTTTTATTGTTATTTAGGTGCACCGTGGAAGTGTATTTAACCAGGAAGTTCACGCCTCCTTCCTTACCGTGACGCGAAAATATGTCCAAGCCTTGTTTCGAACCTCGATCTCCTGCTTATAAAGCAAGCGTTCTAACCACTGCGCCACGGCCGCAATTTCAAGTTGTCTCGGGAGTATGCTTGTAATCGACAAAAAAAAACAAGTTTCACTTGAAAAAAAATAACAAAATTCACTGAAATGATTTTTATTAAAACATCAAAAAATGAATTATTCTAGGGATATGCTGCAAAATTTTAATCATTAGTAATTGCAATTATTCAGCGAAAGGTTTTTTAAAACTCGGTAATTAAATAGAATCTCGTGATTTTAAAATCATATGGGGTGGTTTCCACACTTACCGTGAGTTTAACAAAAGTTATTATATTATGTTAAATTACTCAAAAAGTAGAAATTTATTAGAAATGAATTTTTGCAGCCATCAATGTAGTACTATAAGAGTTAGTTTAAAATTATTCTCACTCTGAAATTTAAATCAATAATGTACTTATTTGATCAAACTTTTAAAGCGCAGTTTTCCATACTTATCGTAAGTGTTTCACACTTATCGTATATATTGGTGACACTTGTCGTATATCTTAAATTCTGCTTTAGTGACTGGTTTATAATGCGCTTGCGGTTTCAAATGAAAATTTAATGCATTAGTAACATTTTATTAAACGTTTTTATGTATATAATTAAAAAATATATATATATAATAAACATTAATTATATAGTAATGAAAATATTATTTTGAATTAAAACTAAAGTTTTTTAAAGCATTTCCATTACTTTAGAACAAATTTTTTAAACTGGAATGGATAGAGTTTCATCATAATTATCTGAGTCTTATTTTATAATTATTGTTAACAATGGAACTCGTTTTCTGACTCATTTTCAATGCTTACTTTTTCTTTTGCGACTTTGTTTTTCTTTTTCAAAATTTTCATGTTTTCTCTTTCTTTTTTAGTTTTTTCATTTAATAACTTTTTCTCCATAACCATTTGTTTTTTCTTAATATTTCTTATTCTATTTTTGAATTTTTATCTGCAGCTAATTGTTTCTTTCTTAATTTTTCATCATTTATTTGTGACTTTTCTTGCAATTTTGTCTTTTGAATTTGCTGCCATGTTTCAAATGTTACAACCGATGGTAAACGTTCTATTTTGCGCTTGGACGTTTGGACTGGTTGTTTTGGCCATATCAAAACACTTTCAATTGGACTTATGATTTTTGCTGCTATTTTCAAACTAGAACAAGCTGGTTTTGGATCTATATCCGCTGCAATATTGCAATCAGGTATTTCCAGCTTATATATATATTACATTTCCAGCTTATATATATATTTACATTTTCTAAGTTACAAGTTGTTGATAGATTTTTATTACCCTGTTGTATTTCATCAG